CCTCAGAGCCGTCTGACCAGACAGCCAGCCTGGAGCTGGACATCTGCTCATGTGAAACAGATTCCAATTAATTCTCAGTGGTTACTTATTCTCTCTGCAGCACAGTATTTACTTTCCACACAGTCACCAGCAAAGCTGTTCAGTGCCCCAAGGCAGCAAACAACAATAATTCTCTTTCAACCACATCTGAAGGACCAAGTGCCCTTTAGCTTCACACAAAGCTTTAGCGAACAGCAACGCTTGCCTGATATTAGTTGTAGTTGGCAACTCTGATGAATCTATGATATATTCTTCCTGAAAACAAAGAAAGGAAAATCGGCATTTTCTGAAATAGTTTGACATGTGGATCACAATTCTTTAAATTCACTGGAAGAGATTAAGTGACAAACCCATGCCAGACTTTCGGCTGGAGACTTCTGTACTGTATTCTCAAATCTAATTCTCCAAATAAGCCACACTTTATTAATGCTGTCATTTTTACAGATGATCAACTGAGTGCCAGTGCAGTCAGGTGACTTTTCCAGTGCCAAAGGCTAACAAGCTAGCTTGCGATTCAAGTCTTAATTAAGGTCTTTTTGGAGGTAAGCATCCAGGAAGTCATGTTTTCATGCCACCAGCAGCAGGGTCAAGACTGGAGGTCATAATAAGGAAGATACAGATCAGGAGAACCCATTCCACCCTTAGGGCAGCAGTTAGGGGTTATGATGTTTAGATAAAGTGCGCCAAAGAATGAAATTTCGAGCTAGATCTTTGTCGTGAGTTTGATTTGTTTGCTCGTGTTCCTTTCAAATGACTGAAGTTGTTTGGGGTGTGCTGGTCATCTGCTTGACTGACAGCCATAATCCTTTTCTGTTGCTACAGTGGTTGCTAAGGAGCCCGGCCAGGGCATGACTCCAGGACCATAAAGTACTGAGTCTGGATGGGGCCCAATTCTGTTATCTCCATGGTTCTCAGATCCAGTGGGCTGGGAATGACATTGGTACCATCCCACCAGGGATGACAGCAACTACAACTTCAGCCCCATAGTCATAGCAATCATGGGAGCTGTCAGTCAGCTAGCTATTACTTGTGTGATTCCTCTAGCTGTTGTCATGGTATCTCTGTTTTCACCATCTCGTGGTTGCTCCGGTGCCTGGAGGGCGTCTCCTTCCAACAATATAGATCAACAGTAGCTTTTATGGCCACAACCCCAACCATGGCTTTTGCTTTGAAAAATACTTCATTCATTAAGAGCCACTCCAAACACTCTGAATCAGCTCTTGAAAATGTTGTTTTAGCCATGACAGCATCAGATGATCTGTCACAGCCATTCCAGAAGTCACCCAAAACCCTCAGTCAAGTTGGGCATTGATTGCATCTGTGACAGGCCCAGTATAACCTTCACAGACTGTGTGACCATGTGTGTAGTTGTAAACAGAGGGCTGTGTGCATGGGTGACAGGCTGGTCAGCTGCCCACCTCACTCTTCTAGTCAGATCTCCCTCCTGTACTGTCCTACCACACTGCAACACTAGGTGTTCACAGCTCCTCTTCTGAGGGTCTCATTGCCTGCCTTGTAGTCTTTATCATGGAGAGAGTGGGCTGAGCTTGTGGCATGAAAAGTGGCCACTCTCTGGGCTACTGGCCTTAGGCACCCCCAGGAGTAGCTACGGGGCAGCAGAAGAGCTCCAGAGACTGGAGCAGACTGAGGCCACGGCGGACTGTAGAAGTGTCTCTGTGGATAACAGAGACTGTGGGGACCATAGAAGGCAAAGGTTGCAAAGACACAAGGGGAAGCTAAGAGCTGGAAGTGCTACAAGCCCTGGCCCCTGCAACCCAAGGCCAGGGAGCTCTATATCACCTCTGGGTGCTGCAGGGTAGCAGCACTGAATGCAAGGAGCAGAGGCTCCCAATCTCCTAAGCTCAGAGCTGCTGGCACTAAGGGAGCTGAAGTTTAACAACCACATTTTCCACCCAAACATGGCAGAAGAACCCTTGGCCGGCTGGTAACAATAATGATCATAATTTATCATCACCAAGCCTGTATCGTTTAGGAAATGCTGACTATGCGATAAGGAGCTTGGGGGAGAGTAAAACCACACGATAAAATTAATAAGAGCAGAATCCTCTGGTTTAATCTTCAACCGTTCTTGAAAAATTCATAGACTTTAGTTAACAGCAGCAACCATTGCAGCATGGGCTAGATGGTAAATCATCCGAGCAAGGCTGGATCCAGGTGCTATTACTCCCTGGAAGGCGGAGCTCCTGATCCAGGAGGCTTTGCTGATGCAGCTGCGGGATGATGCTCTGTAAAGGTTTTTTTTGATTTATACTTTGAAGTTAAAATTAGCAGAGTTTTTACAGCAGCACAAGAGCCATATGCATCTTTCTGTGACTGTCTCCAAATACTGCCAACGTTTGGCTCTCGCATTCCTTGCTTGACTAGAAACTAGGTTTAGATGCAGAGAAGAAAAGAAAAACAACAACAACAAAACAGCCAAACATGCAAATTACCTCAAAACCATATGAGATATTTTAAAGTCTTCAAAGCATTGTTTGGCTTCCATTGCCACCTCCCTTGTCACAGCCATGTCCTATTTATCAATGTCTGCATACGCAGAGAGAAATGAAAACAGACCACGCTCTCCACAGGCCACAAACGAGGTTTCCTTTTATCTGGAGCTGCACTGCCCTAGCAGAGTGCTTCTAAGGGACACAATCACTCACTGGTGGCTTAGTTTTTCTTGTTTCTGTTTGGAAGTGCTCATGCAAAGAATCTCTATGAAGGAGACTAATGGCTCTTCCATTCTTCAGCAATGAATTTTCTTTTCAAGCACCAAGTATATACCTAGTGATTCTAAGGCAGATCACTTCCGTTGTTATTAATGTTTTTTAAGAAAAATAAGTCACTTTAGGAACAAAAGCAACCCTTGAAATCATCTCTGCTCTTTAAGTATCCTTGTAAATACTTCTGCTATCTAGGGGCAAAATGCTCCACAGTACCCCCAGCATAAAGGTTGACCCACCACAGCTCCCAGGGAGCTGAACACATGCAATTCAACCCTGGGTCTCATTGTCCTAAAACATACTCTATAGGAAATGTGCTTGGATAAATTATGTACACCCGTGACTTTTTTCAAAGTCTCATTTTATCCTCCCCTCTAGGAAATCCTTTGCTAAAATGTATTGAAAAATGCAAAAGGGCATTGACTTTAACCTGTTTTGCCTATTCAGTCTTGTCTCTAAGAGTGAGGGTGGACAAGACCAGGAAGTAACTCACAGAGAGCAGCAACATGACTCTTTACTGAACACTACAAGTTTTCACTCTATGGATAATCTAGACTTGACATATTAGGGAACTGGTTTGTGTAATTTCCACCAGTAAAGCAAAGCAGGTTTGCAAAAGTCGGAGTGGCAAATAGAATAAACTGGAATAGAATTCTGAAAATTCCCCCACTTCTCACACTTGTTAAAAATTTAGTAGCACAAGAAAAACGTTCTATTCAGAGATTTTATCCAAAATATTGTAGATAGGAAGCATTAAGATTCCTAGCTGTCAGATGCTGGTTCTCTTGGTGGCAGAAACAAAGTACAAATAGCCAGTCAGTCCTATGTTAGAAGAGCAATAAATTATTTAAGGTTGTTCTTGAAAAGGCTTTGACTGTCTGGTTAAAGGGAGTGTGCTGGCTAGTCTTGGGTCAGCTTGACACAGGTCATTTAGGAAGAGGAAAACACTGCTGAGAGAATGTCCCCACCACAATGGCCTCTAGAGGCAAGCTTGTGGCGGTGGGAAGTCCAGCACACTGGGCAGGGCCACTGCTGGGCTGGTGGTCCTGGGTTCTACAAGAAAGCAGACTGAGCAAGTCCCAGGGAGCAAGCCAGTGAGCAGCACCCTCCATGGCCTCTGCCTACATCAGCTCCTGCATCCAGGCTCCTGCCTTGAGTTCCTATCCTGACCTCCCTGAATGATGGACTGCAGGCTGTAAGAGGATCCAAATCCTTTCCTCCCCAATTTATTTTTGGTCATTGTGTTTTACCACAGCAATTGAAACCCTAACTAAGACGGGGATTTTTCTTTCTTTCTTTCTTTATTTCTTTCTTTCTTTCTTTTTTACAAAGAAGAGGAGAAAGAAGAGGAGGGAGAGGAAAACGAATAATGCACAAGTAAAGTCCTTTTGTTAGAGACCAAGAAACAAATGCAAACTCAAAGTCCCCCATACCTTGTCTCACAGATGGACTCCTATTCTGGTATGTTTTAAATTACATGGCACCTCGGGTTGGGAACCACAGGCTAGGACAGGCCAATCTCACTCAAGGAGAGATGGAGACCCAAAAAAAGGCAACTGTATCCAGAATCACCCTTTTAGAATCTGCTCAAAATATACATTAGCTGGAATATATGATGCTAAAACTAGGGTTCAAGGAACATTGTTTAAAGATTGAGTTCCTTTATGTGGTTCCCCTACAATGGAGTATCTGCATATATTTTACATGTTTTGACATAATTATATAAATTGCAATGTACATAATGCTCATTGAGTTTTACAAAGTAGATTTTACTCAACAACACATGTATTTTTTTGTACTTTAAAAACCAAAAGTCTCAAAATAGAAAGTAACTTGAGAAATATTATGTAAAGTCAGTGTCTTACCAAACATAAACATGGGAAGGTTTGTATTTATATATTCAAGGTTGAAATAAGCAATTTAGCTTTCTGAGAACTTTAGATAAACTCCTAAGTATGCTGAAGCCTCTGTCAGAAGTAGTTTCTTAGTCTCTTGTCTCATTTTGTCCATTCTTAGCATTCTTAAGAGCAACTAAAATCCGCAATTCAATGTAAACAGTTCTAGCATTACCAAACATCATGTCCACAGGTCAACTCTGTAAACAATGTACAGAGACTAGAAAAATTGAAAAACCTAGTCTTCAGTTTTTCAACATTATTAGCTTCAGTTCTCATTTTTGTAATCTGGTGGATTTATTCACTTTATTTAATTATGAATTAAAATGAGGAGTCTCACCTTGTGATGCCCAAATTCATTCAAAATGCTTCCCAGTTTTCTGGTGTTGCTATGTGGCTTTTGAGCAGCCACAGCTGGATGTGGATCACGCCAATCGATGGACAACCGGTGATGCCAGAGGCGCTGGCTCTCCAGAACATGGGCTGATTTAACACTAGGATCAAAACGATGCACTTCACATCCGTCATTGGCCATGCTCACCTCAAAGTGTGTGTCATCACTTCCCAGGCTAGAGACCAGAGAAAGAAAATAAAAACAAAAAAACACAACAAAGCAAAATTAAATGGATACATTGACAACTCTAACACCAGTCTTCCTAGTGGCATCATGCTTTCTGTTTTAAAACATGTCTAATGTATACATTCAATGAACTTCATATATGCATGCTCTACACACACACATACATGTGTTCTATACACACATACATATATACATGCTCTACACATATATGTTTGTTCTATACACACATACACATGCTCTACACACATATACATGCTTTATACATATATTCATGCTTTACACATACATACACATACTTTACACACACATGTGCATGTTCTACATAAACATACACATGTTCTATACACATATATGCATACACATGCTCTACACACATATTCTACACACACATATGCATGTTATTTACACACATACAATCATACACTATAGACCAAAGCCTCTGAATAAAAGAAGACTAATCTGTTAAACACAGATCACAGAATCACCAGCTAAACATGTAGACTCGCAGAATGGTTTGATTAAGTTGTAAATTATATTATCAATGGAACAAATAAAAATATCCACTAACTTCGATAGGTACACTATGATCTATATAATCACAGTGGCTAGGAATAGGGTAAGAGATTCGGGTGAGGTCTCCCAAGGAAGGAGAAACAGAATATAGAGAATATTGCTTTACTTGGTTTTTTTTTATCTTACTGGGTTTTTTGCTTGTATAGTATGGTTTCTAATTTTGTGTTTTTATGGGTTTTGTTTTTGTGTTGTGTCTCTGTGCTTCTGTTGTTTTATTTTTGTTGTTGTTATCATTATTATTGTTTGTTTTTATTTGTTTTATCTGTCTTTAGAAAACAAACAGGAGTTGGATGTGTGGGGAGGTGGGGATGATCTAGGAGGAGTTGGGAGAGGATAATATACTGTATGAAACAAAATTTATTTTCAATAAAAATAATATCCACTAGTCTTAAGAGAATTTTCTCAGCATAGGTCAAAAAAAGATAAGCCTGGGATGCATTCCCTTGAGGGGACCTGCATTCTAATGAGGCGCTAATTTGTCTCATGGTACTAAGCAAAATGCTGAACTTGTGAGCCGGTACTGTTCTTTTAAATGGAGTGTATTTTAAAGTAGTGTGGTTAAAGAAAAAAAGAAACGCAAATGTATGTGTCCCTACTAGGTCCAAGGTGCAAGGAAAGAATCTGTGCTTAAGTTCACAGCAATAAAGGGAAGAAATGATGAATACATTATGCCTAAACACCTACTAGGTAGTATGCCATGTCGACACACGCTGAACTACTAAGAAAAACTTCTTATTTAGTGTAAACATCACCACATTGATTAAAGCGCCATTTTGAATGGGAAACATGAAATTAACCAGAAGATAGTCCTTTTTATGGTAATTAAGACTTCTCTGCCAAAAATTCTATGCTTTTTCGGGGTGGGGAGTGGGGAGAAAGAGATGGAGATAGAGACAGACTTGCTATATGGTATTGAACTCACAAACCTCCTGCCTCAGCTTCCTGTGGCATGGAATACAAGCATGTATAATCATGCTAAGTTCCAAAGGCCTATGACTACTTGTAACTTGGGATAACATAAGCCCACAGAGCGTCTGTAATCCACTGGCCGAACCCAAAGCAGTACAGAAGAACTTGATTCCAGACTGTCACACACTTTGGGCACACACAAAAACAGGAGCCAACGATCATTCCGCAGGTCTTAATTACCTAAAAGAAGCTTTCATCTATCTGAAACACCAAGGTGGCCCTAATTGCTTATTCTGCCCTTACCCCACAACATTGCTCTCTCCATCACTGGATACCTTGACATGTCATTCGGCCAATTATATCCCTCAACCAGATCTTATTAATCCACTTTAGCTAGAAGGACTCAACATTCCCATTTGTTCTACCTGAGAGGTCTTGTTGCCCATTTTCTTCTTTCTACAAAACCCACTTCAGAACTCTCCCTCCCTCTTAACTTCCTCCCCCCTCTTTCCCTCTGCTCCTCCCTCCCTAGGGATCAGGCTCAGAGCCATGTGCATGCTAGCTAAGCACTCTGATCACTGAGCTCCAGCCCTACCCCTTATACTAGTTTCTTATAATTCTAGTTTCTACACACAGAAAAAATTAAAATGTAAGAAGCAGAGAAAGCAAAAAGCAAGTTTTCAGCCCTCGACATTGTAACCACTAACTTCCAGAGATCAACATGTTTAGTAGTTTTTCTACATCATTCCAGAATTTTTCTACACATGTACGTGGGATAGCCTCTGTTATAAATTATTAGAAGCACATGCCCACACATGTAAGTCCATCATTACATAATAGAGATACTTTATATGATACACCAGATGGCCTGAAACTGCTTGTAATTTATAATTTTATTAACCGATGTTACTTTTGCTCAATCTGTCCCATCCTCATCTCTTCTTAGCAGTATGTTAGTCTGTAGCTGTGGAAAAATGACACTGAGAAGAACCTAAAGGAAAGTGTGAATTCTGGCTCATGGTCTCATCCCATCACGAAGGGGAAGGTATGCTGGACCAGTTCACAGCATAGCAGGCAGGGAGCAGAAACAGGAAGGACCAGGGCAAGACAGAGCCCCCAGGACACCCCACCCAAGGACTTATTTCCTCCCACTGTGTCCTACCTCCCATAGTTCTAACCCCTCCTGACACTATATTCAAATCCTGAGTCCATTATGGCTCAACCCACTCAGTACAGACATGTTAAAATCTAAAAACCCCAACAGATACCCCTGGAGATGTGCTGTACTAAACCCCACAGATACCCCTAGAGAGGTGCTGTGCTGACCCGTAGGCATTTCAACCCACTCAAGAAGACAAGATTAACATCACAATCAGTGTATATAGACTATAGAATCATGGGGTTCCACCGTGACATTTCCATACCATTTAATTTTAGTATATAAATATGTACTGTGTTGGGAAGCAATAAGGAATTCTCATTTACCTAGTGTGTGCAATTCTGCCTTTTGTGTATTTAAAATAATGCTTTTTTCAGGCTTAGTTTACATTTATCAAGTTTCATGGCAGATGTAAAAAGCAAGAGGAAGACTTAAGAGACTACACAACACATCCCTAGGTAACAGAAGCAGGAGTGGAGTCCAGGTCTGGCACCTCTAACGCATGCATGGCATCTACAATGCTCGCATGCACAGCCTCTCCACATGCTCCTCCACAGCAGATGACCGGGCACACCAGGCTCTGGAGGAACACTCCTCTCAAACTTTGGAAAGTTGCCGCTTTTTAGAGAGTGAGGCTGCGTTGACCTTGCTTGCTCCCAACTCTCCTGTGCCCCAGTGGTGACAGATAGACCTTCAATGCTGCCCTCAGTGATAGAAGACTTTATGTAAGGCCTGCCACTCCTAGGATATGCAATAATGTCCAAACATAGCATGCAGCGGGCTTCGATTCAATGATTCACTCCTGTGTGTAAACGAGTCTCTAGAGGATACTACACGGGAATGGGGCATCTGCTGGGCATGAGGACAAACAGAGCAGAATTGCCCTTGAGCTGAGGGTACTCACAAAGTAGTGATGAGGAAAAAGCATTTTGAACAAATTATTATAATAATACCTATTATTAATTACAAAATAATCTGAATGTAAGCTATCTTCTACTGTAATTTTAACCACAAGGAGAATTTACCATAGAAAAGTTTACTTGGTAGAAATATTTTCTTTAGGTTTAGCCTATGAAGCAAGCAGCACAGACCGCATGTGTGACTTCCATCTCAAGGTCTGAGGTGACTGATCCATTTTCCCCATCTCCTATCTGTGTTGCAGTCACCGAGGAAGGTAGGAAGGGAAGCGGTGGCCACATTCTTGTGAGGCCACACCCTGAAAGCCACACACTTCTCCACTCACAGCCATTGCTCACAGCTAGTCACATGGCCACTGAAGCTCCAGGGAATCCATGGTGGCCATGTGTCTTGCTAACTTCAGGAATTATGTCACCAAAAGAAGAAAATTGACAGTAGGGGACAATCAGCAGCTTCTACAGTTCCCTTTGGAAATACTCAGCAGAGGATCCACTTTCAAGGCTCTAGGTAAGCCTGTCACCTTGCCTCCATAAGAGGAAGGTGAAGTTAGAAGATTTATTAATAAATATCGAACCAGTACTGGGGTTTTAGGGCACAACAAATTTTTCAGCAGAGCAAGACTATCAAACCTAAAAGGTTTCGAAGAACTAAGAAGGGAAGGATGTATAGGGCTAAATTTCCAAAGGTAGGCTGGACTAGAGTGCCTGGACAACTATGTTGGGCCTTCTCCAATGTCTCAGAGCAAACCAACCACGTTGCCTGATTGCAGCTGTGTGGGATGTCACTAAACAAGTCTCGGATGTGCTGTTCCTGCCGAATGACCATTAAGATGACTTCCCAGTAGAGAGCACTGAGAGTTCTTGAGAGAGGTTTTTTTCTTCCAAGTTGTTCACAAGTGTTCTTTGGACTGACTACAGGTGTACTTTAAGCATGTGAACTGTGTACATACACCAGCATCTGTGCTCTTATATACCACTGAAAGGGAAACGGAGTGGATTGCGGCAGGTCTTTGTTAGCCTGTTTTAAGCAGGCTTGAGTGTCTCACGGTAAGTGGGTTTTATGTCCCCTGGGAATCAAAAACTTAGAGCATAAGAATATGAAAGGATTCATTACTCGGTAGGGAAAGACAATTTAAAGCCACAGTGAGATACCCCATCTCAATTACCAGAAGGTACATAATTGAAAAGGCCAATGTGGTGTTGACAGAATATGAAGAAATTGGAACTATCATAGATTATTAGTGGGGATGTAAAATGGTATATATTCAAGATAAATGAAAAGACATGGCCTCAGAATTTCCACATCAATGCTCATCTCAGCCGGTGATTGAAGAAACAGAGTGTGGTGTTACCATACAATGAGATGTGACTCAGACATAAAGAGTAATGAGTGCTGATACATGCCACACTGCTGATGAACTATGCCAACAT